GCAAATGCTGCTCAAAAATATTTCTTAATTCTGAATTGTTGATTTTTATTAGATGCAACCTTATAGATATCACAACAGCATCTCTAGTCCTAATTTTATACTCAACCAGGTTAGTCTTTTCAATATTCTTTAACTCAAAGACAAAAATATCAGCTACTTTTGCTATTAATTATTCTATTACTTTACTTTTATTGGCTCAGTTTGAACATCGAGCCCCAGATTTATTAGGTTACAATTGTCTTTTGTTAGCTTTGATAAAACCAATACATTGCCTTCATCAATCATCCATCATTTTTCTCATTCTTTGCTTTCTAATATTTAATTTTTCTACCAAAAGATCATCCATTTAATTTATTGTCACTAATAGATTTTATTTCTCTAATTAATACTCTATCTCTATTTTTTGTACTCATATAGGCACTTTGAACATTGTTGCAAATACTTTTTGTTTTTTCTTTGATCAATTCGATCTTTCTAATAGCTATTATGTTATTTAATTTTTTGTAGTTGCTTTCATCATCACTATTGACGTCATCATCATATTTTTTATTCTGATTATTTTTTACTTATCTTTTAGGTATAATTAAGACCATGAAAGATGCTGCTTAGTAGATGAAGCAATTGTGTACCAGTACTTATTCTCTTTCTAACTCAAGCTATATCTGACACTTGCAATCCACAGCATACCTAATAATACGTCAAAACTGACTATTTCTATAATATAGAAGCCTTGATTTATAACTATCTTTTTCATTTCAACTTTCATATTTGGTACATATCCAACAAATTGGCTAACTTTATTATCAGCTATTTTACTCTTTTTACCAACACAATTCCAGATTAGGCCCTTTTTCTTAGCATATTCTTTTACTATAAGGTTCATACGCGACCCTGGATCGAGTAGAGCTCTCACAAAGTCACTATTAATCTTGGTTGTCTATACAGATACTTCTTTTCCAGATCTGGGCATTGTTAATTGAAGTACTCTACGTACAACTCTTATTCTTATATTCGTATTAACTATTTCACATTCTTTCTTATATCAAGATAGTGCCTTCATAATTTTTGCATGTGCCTTTAGCAACCACTTAAACAATTGGCCCAGGCTTATCATGATTTTTATACCAGCTATTTTCTTTAATATGTCAAATTCCTCAGACAGTTCTGTAAAGGATATATATATTATATTATCAAGTCATTTCACATTGTCGCTTACTATGTTGATTGATTTGCTTTTTTCTTTCTTATACAAATATTCATTTGATTCTTCTACTATCATCTTTTTTCTTTTTATCTACAAGTCTCAAATTATAGCTCACATCATCATCTGCCATCTTCACTTTTAGATATTCACTAGGACTTTTGAAACTTGCTTCTGTAAACTCTACCATACGCACATCAATATTGTTATATTTTGATTTGAACAGTCTTTTGCAATGTGTTTTTTGATGGCATGAGTAATATGTTCATGTCTTTGTCCTATATAGTTAATTAGTTCTTTGATTTATTTCTTTGATTGTTTTAGTCATGATGTTCTGAATTAGATTTTCAACCTAATTATACTTTAATTGTTCTTCTTAATCTATACAATTGATTTTTAAAGCCGCAAGTTCAGTCACAAGACTGTCAATATCTATATCAAGCTTATTGGAATAAAGTGTATCCTCAGATGCAGGCTGATCTTCATATTTATAATTCTTTTCTTTCTTATATTCTTCTATAGCTAACGCTTTTTTCTTTGCCTTTGTATTATCTTTAGGATAATAGTTTTCAACCTTTAAATGATATAGTTCCTTCAGGCCTTGTATATACCAATCACATTTCTAATTAGTCCTGAGTTGATTTTTCACAATTTCAGCACAAGCTTCATATCTATTCATATATTCTCTAACAGACTCCTTATCACCTTGTTTCAAATATTTTAACTGAACTATCTTAAATTCAGATTTATTATCTGCCTTAACCTTACTTATGATTTTCTGTTTCAGATTGATTAAATCTTTCTCGATTTGTACTAACTTTTATACCAACATCCTTGAGCTCTTAGGCATATGCATGTATACTCTAAAATAAGTGATCTTTTCATTGTATTTCTTTGCTTTAGCATAGCTTTTGTAATCAAAAAGAAAGTTTTCAATATCATTGACCTTGGTACCATAATTCACAGGTATTGTCATATCTATGCTTCCATTCATCTCTCCTAATTTATATTCCTACTTTCTTGTATACCAACAGATTGTTCTTGTTGACTTGATATAGTATACCGCAGTATTGCAATTGTCATTACTTATAACCTTGTATCATAGGCAGGTTAGCTTTAAGTTATATCAATTTAAAGATCACTAATATATATATATATATATATTTTTTTTTTCTTTTGTTCGTTACAATGTTCTCTTTATACATTTGTTATGACTTTTTTTGTTCGTCTGTTATGACTTCCTTTGTTCGTTTGTTATGGCTTTCTTTTGTATGATTGTTATGGCTTTCTTTTGTATGTTCATTATGGCTTCTCCTGTGAGAGATAATGAAGTTGCCCAGGTCCATCCTGACAAGGAATTAATAAATCCTTTGAAATAAATACTAGCAGACGGGTCAGTTAAATAATGTGTTGCTTCACTTGCTTTTAACGTTACTCTGTCCTTCATTTTCCTACTCATCACCTTCTCTTTAACGTTACTACTCAAATTGTAGTTCACTACGTTCTCTTTAAGGTACTAGTTTATTCAACGAAATTCAAAGTCTAGGTTCAATCTCTAGGATCGAACACACTATTTATTTAATTATTGCTCATGTGAGTTTACATCATACATTCATTACGCTATACAAATTAAACTTTTACATTG